GGCTGGTCTGGGATACAGATAACCTGTGGGGTGATAAATTGTAACTAATAGGATTTCCTGGTGGTCGAATATTTTGTCTGGGCAAATTGTTTTCAAAGTGTGAAATAGTTGGCTGATTGACATTTTGAGTCGGATTTGGCAATAAGGTCGGATTACTATTTTGATCTGGATTTGATGAAATATTCATGTTTTGAAGGAGTCTAGATATATTCAACTCGATCATACGATTGATCCGATTGTAATCTATATTAACCTCTTGGTTATTCATCATCGGTGAATTGCCCGTTGGATTATTTTGTGCCTCGTTAACGTGTATAGGTGTTTGAGGATCTTGAATGCTCGAATTCATGCCATCGGATAAATCTTGCAGTAAAGTGCGATTGGTGTTGCGAGTATTGTATCGTTTAGACAATGCCCCCCTTCCTTTGCCTCTTTGGCCAGTCTTACTATTGTTTACGACTCTATGCGCATTATCGGAGGCTTTTAACTCTCTTAGTTGACATGGTCTATTACATATGGGACAAGTCGATGCTGTAGCCAAATGATCTTCGATACAAGGACGATGGAATTGGTGGGAACAATCGCTTATTAATAGGCATTCTTGGCCTTCTTCTATCCTAAAATTGCATATAGAACATGTCGAAGATTCGCCACATCCTATTACAGCAGAAGAAGTCGAAGGCGCTATGGATGGCGGAGGGGTTCGTTCTAGGGACATGATGAAGATTATATAATCGCCTGTAGCAAGCAAAATATAAAATTCAGAATATTTGTGTTGAAACTAAGGCTCTGTATATACCTTAATTACTGCGTCAAAAAAAAAAAAAAAAAATCAGATAATACATATAATACATAGATGTTTTCATTCTCAAGATGGGTATAAAAAGAGTTTTAAATGAACAATTCAATGAAAATATCTGGATTAACAAACAAGTCTATGAAAAAGATTGTAAAATATAAAAATTGCTATACTAAACACACCAGCTTACTCATCCTTTTTGTGGTTCTGAAAAGTAGTGGTCATAGAAACGCTCTAAATTTGGCAAATTCTGCGATATCCGACAACTTAAACAGATGCTGATTCCTAAGTTTAACATTGCAAAGTTAAATACTTTACAAAGCTTCTGAAGTCACATAAATTCATATGGACATTTTCATTTATTTCGTAAAAGGATTATTTTCGACAATCGGTTAACTCATCCGAACAGAATCAGAATCAGAATCATTATTAAAATTAGAGCCAAAATAGATACTGCCATCTTTTCGGCCCCACGTTGGGCGCCAAATTCTGTAATGTTCACGACCAAATCGCGATGCTATATTTGAGAAAAATGTCTCTGTTTGTGCACCATAGAATTTAGAGTGGCGAAGGACTGCGGGAGCCTTCTTTTGCTAGCACTAGCCGGGTGGGGGGTTCAGGTCCTATCCTCTCTAAACCTTGTTGTCATTACATGAATTAATTTTGTTTCAGACTCCCTTTTTTTTTGTTGAAATACATAAAAATTTTATAAAATTAGATTGTGATCAGGCTGCTGAAAAAGTAAAACGGATTAAGAATATAATGAATTCGGGGATATTTTCACATAGTTCTAAATTAAAACACTTCCAGATGTTGTTGGAAGAAAGTGCCTCGCAACCCACACCTACCGTCGTTCTTCATGGCACCAAAATTCTTTACAAAGAACCCCCAAGTTTAGCTAACTCCTTTCTTTTTATGACCCCATCATCTGAGATGAAAACATCTTTAAATAATTTAGTTCATCATAGTAATTGTACTTACAAATTTATTCAAGGCATTAATTTTAATGATCATTATAGAAAATATTAGAAATATATATAAAATTCATTGACAATAGCTTATATATGGAATTAATCTATCCGAGGAATAATAAACCTAATAAAAGTTTTACTATTGGTTAACTAAAAAAACATAACAAAAGTGTCTGTATTCAAACGCACAACCTATTGTGCATAAAGAAGAACCAAATGTGTAAATATGTAATAATGTGTATTGCTTCGCTATAGCAAAACAAACAAAAAGTCTGAATTATTTAATTCCTATCGTGAATGGTTAAGCATAATGTTGGAGAACGCACAAAACAGACAGAGCAAGATCATAATCATATATTGATAATGATAATTATCTTTCCTGTTTTATCTTATTATAAGATTCCCAACAATTAAAGAGAGCAAGATGATCTTCATTACTAGTGAATAATGATGATTACCTTGCCTGCTTTCACTCACTACAAAATTCAAAGCCAAGCAAATCAATGCAATTGATTGGATAATAAATAAATAGTTTTTTTATAATTTCTATTTTTCATGTACTCACGTATGTTAAATGGATAGCATAAAACTCACCAACAAATTCGATGATCAGCATGAAGGCCTCCACGTTGTCGTTGATGTTGTTGCTGGAATTTCTTTTTTTTTTTTTTGACGTACTTTAGGGTGGGATGAAAATTATTGCATTGATTTAATCTTTATACCGCAAAAATGGCGGTCGCAATAAGAAAGCACGCGAAATACATTTTTTTAGATTATTGATGTTGGATAAAGATTTCTTAATTATTATGCCACATTAATAGTTACGTTAATTCCTTTTGTTTGTTTTGTTTTTTTTTTTTTAGTTTATGCTTATTTTATAAGGTAGCTGCAATGCACATGGTAAATCAAGTTTTAATTCAGCTTCAATAGTAATTTGCCCTTCATAGCGTACAGTTTCTCGGTTCTTCGAGAGTGATGAAATAGCAGGAATGGTGGTCAGGCTCTTCGTTTGGAAAACTGCCTTCGTTTATTGACTTTTGCTTTAGTTTCATCTGTTATGGGCAAATGCTCTTTGAGAAAATACATTTAATGGGAATTTCGAACATATAGGCAGCAGTTTCTTCGATTTGGGGTTACATATCGATTTCCATGGTGATTTGCGCTTTAGTGTTCTTTGGAAAAAACGGGATTCCCAGGCCGTCACTGCCCTGTGGGTAGCCACATCTTGGGTAGACCAGAACTCCCTTTTTCGTCACTTTAGGAATTCCTTTCTTTATTAAATAGCCGTTTGATTCTAATAAAAAAATCACGTGATCCAAAAATAAGGTTTGGTGAACGCTAGTAGAAAATTTATGTATCAGCATAATGAAAAAAAAATCATATTTTTTTAATGACGGAATTACCTTTTAATAAAAATTACAGCCGAGGGTATATATTAAACAGATATCAAAACGATTTATGCTACGAATGCCAAAATATAATTTTCGATCGGCTTGATAAAACTGGATATTTTGCAAGGGTGTTTTACCCTTGTCACTAAATTTGAAACTTGCCAAAGGAACGTAGTTTTCTCTTTGAAATCCAAAAATGAAAAGGAAGTTAAAGATGCAGAATACCAGAAAAAACTGGTGACGCTATGTAGAGCACTATCGATTAACACTATAATAATTCTTTTATCGAGCGTACTATTTTTATAGCATAGGGACGAAATTTATTACCGGTATACAAAACACATATGTGACTGTATGGAAATGAACTATTTTATTTCACTTGAGTATATATCACAGACCTTTCTTTTTTAACCATCCCAATATTCATGTTTTCCAGACTGAGTTGCTAAAAGAATTGTTTTCAATTGTAATGCTGCACAAAAATCCAGTTTCGCCTAATTGATAAAAGCACGGCCAACAACTGATGTTTGAAAAAGAATTTATGTAAGATCAAAAATAAAGCAAAAGAAACGCAAAGGCAATGGGCAAACGTTGAACAGCAACAAAGACTTGATCTGCAATTGAGAGGCTAATGTTTGTTTGTTTGTTTGTCTGTAAAGTCTCATAAAAGCATGATCAGTAACAGGTCTATGTAATAAGAATGTGACATTGAAATGTTATAATTGATGTACATATTGATACTGTTAACATTGCAATGTTATGACTGACTTACAACTGCTGTAATAAAAAAATGTAACTTTGATAGCCTATACACTGAAGTACCGAAGTATTCAGCATGTAATATTTTTTTTTTTAACTCAAAAGGCGACATTACAGAGCTTTACCAAAACATGGACCTATATAGCCCCATTTTAAATACAAACAATAAAGAACTTGAAAATTTTCAAAAAAAAATCCGAAAACTAGCATTTAAATGAAACCCGTTATATGGGGACTATACGAAGACGGGGACCTGCTTACGAAATTTTTTGTCATAGACTGTAGTACCCGTTACGAACTTCAAATACGACATTTAAAACGATTCCGGTGAATACTGTTGCTGAAATCATCAAAATATGGACTATCGGATGGTATCGTAATATGAGGCTATACGAAGATGTGGACCTGCACAGACAATTTTCTGTCCTAGGCTGTAGTACCCGTTACGAACATTAAATATGAAATTTGAATTAAATTCCGGTAAATAATGTCACTTAAATCACCAAAATACCGAAAATAGGAAAGTACCTTTATATGAGGTCTATACGAAAACGTGGACCGACATGGCCCATTTACGAACTTAACTCGCCTACTAGTAAACTATGCATGTATGCAAAATTTTAGCCTTCTATCTCCATTCGTTCGAAAGATAGCGTGATTGTAACAGACGGACATCGCTAGATCGTCTTAGAATTTTACAATGATCCTGAATACATATACTCTGTAGGTTCTATTATGATTATTTCGAGGAGTTACAAACGGAATGACAAAGTTAATATACCCTCCATTGAATGTTGGAGGGTATAAAATTATACGGATCAATTTTGATTTGAGTGCAATTTGGTCTAACTACTTCATTTCGTTCGGAAGCTAGGGTGATCTCAAAATGCTTATTTTACAAACTTAATATACCCTCCAGAGTATGGCGGAGGGTATAAAACAGGGTACAGATCTAAAGAATTTTCAATATAATTTTTCGAATGTCTTTCGAATATCGGTCGATATAGGAAATTTTGTAACAGAAGAAAATCTTTCTATTTTCCAGCAAAACAATTAATCATTTTCTTTTCCTTCCTTCAGGTACACTACTCACCTACATTACTGGTTTTGGCATCACCGCTGCCGCTCATCGTTTGTGGGCCCATCGTGCCTACAAGGCTAACTTGCCCATGCGTATAATGTTGATTATTTTCAATACAATTGCATTCCAAAATTCGGTGTATGTTTGGGCTCGTGATCACCGAGTGCATCATAAATTCTCCGAAACAGATGCTGATCCACACAACGCTACACGCGGCATGTTCTTCTCGCACATCGGTTGGTTGATGTGCAAAAAACATCCTGAAGTTAAGGCCAAGGGCAAGACTATTGATATGTCCGATTTGGAGGCTGATCCCATTGTTATGTTCCAACACAAGTGAGTATAAAATCGAGTGAGGTCGAACATTTTGTAAAATTACGTTAACATCGAAAACCTCTACCCTGATTGAAGCTGATAATTGACAAGCCACAATAAATTAAGAGTATGTTTTAGATAATTAGATTTTTTGCGATTGGCCAGTTATCAGGGATATCCCGGGTAGAGATTTTGTATGCAAACCTTTTTAAACTTCTGCTGGTAAAAATTCGAATTTTATTCCGCATCTGAAATTTGTGAAAATTGTTAGAAAATTATTTTAAGAACTGCCATTTTTTTACAGATACTATTACTTCCTGATGCCCATTGCCTGTTTCATCCTGCCAGCCATTGCTCCCATGTATCTCTTCAATGAAACCTTGTCCAACTCCTGGCACATTTGTGTTATGTTGCGTTGGTGCTTCCTGCTCAACTCGGCCTGGTTGATCAACAGCGCTGGTCACAAATATGGCAGCAGACCCTATGACAAGTAAGTAACAACAACAAATTAAATAAACATAAATACATGTATCCTCATGTCACACATACCAATTTCAGATCCTACAATCCAGCTGAGAACAGTTTCATTGCCTTCTTGACATTGGGCGAGGGATGGCACAACTATCATCATGTCTTCCCCTGGGATTACAAGACATCCGAATTGGGTGACTATGCCTTCAATTATACCACCGCCTTTTTGGATTTCTTTGCCAAAATCGGATGGGCCTACGATTTGAAAACCGTCTCCGATGAGATTATCAAGAAACGTGTTCAACGTACCGGTGATGGTAGCCATCCCATTTGGGGTTGGGGTGACAAGGATCAGAGTAAAGATGAAATCGATGCCGCTATTATTGTCAATAAAAAGGCCGAATGAGGGGAGTTACTGTTCAATAAGAAAGGGGGAAACATATATGTTATTTGTTAGTATTTATATATTTATTTTTAAGTTTTCTTTTTTTTTCCGATAATGGTTCGCATGCATATCGAAATTTTACTTGCTTATTGTACATTCATTTATATATAGATTATGAACCTGGACATTAGGGTTTTGTTATACATCATATGTATTTATAAAGATTTAGTTTGATAAGATCTTGTTTTGTTTTATTCTTACATTACAAAAATTTTATATAATTATTTTGAAATAAATAAAAAAAAATTAAAAAATATTTAAGTATTTGTTTTTAATAAAGTTACGAAGTGTTGGGAGTTCCGAATGATAAAACTGTGCGACAAAAGACTAAATTTTTTCAATAATTGCAGAAAACTCTATATATTATGAAAGTATAGTTAACCAGTAAAGAAAGTCCTAAAGTCGGGCGGGGCCGACTTTATGACACCCTACACCACTTTGCTAATTTAGTAGAGCTCCGCATAACAATTAAAAGTTTTTATGGGAGAATTCAATCATACACGCTATGATTATAATTATAATTTAAAGTTCAAAGGACTAAATATGCCGAAGCATTTGTATCTTTTAAATTCGGACTTGTATTGCCCATTTAATGCACAATTAATTTGAAATCGGAAAAAATATATTTATATGGGAGCTATATCCAATTCTGAACCGATCTCGATAAAATTTGGCAAAGATATTTCTGAGCTGTATTTGATATATTTCCCTGAATATCGTTGTTACGGAGTGCATATTACGGCTGTGGGGAACACATACAAAAAATCGGATGAACAATATATATGGGAGCTATAGCTATATCTGAACCGATTTTCAAATCCAAATTTGGCATAATAGATTCTAGAATCAATTCGGTGGTATGTGCCAAATTCCATCCCATTTGGACAAATATTGGAAGTGTGGTGCACAATAAAAGGTAAATAGGACGAAGATATATATGGGACCTATATCCAAATCTGAACCGATCTCGATAAAATTTAGCAAATGTATTTCTGAGCTGTATTTGATATATTTCCCCAAATATTGTTGTTACAGATTACGGCTGCGGAGGACAAAAATAACAAATCGGATGAACAATATATATGGGAGCTATAGCTATATCTGAACCGATTTCGATCAAATTTGGCATACTTATTTTCAGGTCTAGTTCGGGTGTATATGCAAAATTCCATACTATTCGGACTGATATTACACGTTTGGTGCGCAATAAAAGGCAAATCGGACGAAGATATATATGGGAGCTATATCTAAATTTTTACCGATTATCTCCAATTTCAATAGGGTTCGTCTTTGGGCCAAACAAATGATTTGTGCAAAATTTCATCTGGATTTGGCAATAAATGTGAACTATACTTTGTTTACAAAAATACATGAACTGACGGACGGACGGACATGCATAAATCGACTCAGAATGTGATTCTATGCAGATCATCAAAAGGAACTATGGGTCTATCTCGTTTCCTTTTGCATGTTACAAACAAATGCACAAAGACATAATACCCTGACCACCTTGTGGTGTAGGGTATAAAAATTTACTATTGCTCCCAGAATTCATCAGAAGTCTAAACGACAGGAAAGGATTAATCCTTGTATTTCACAAATAAAATAGTATCATTCGGTTTTGCCGAGAGATGTATACTCCCAGGCTTGAGTTATGATTATTCAATTATTCAACCGATTCATATCTGACCTAAGACTGGTAAAAATATTACAAAGTGCCAGATTTGGACTATATCGACTACTTTCTATACTGTATCATATATATACTTTAATCTTATTTTTGGAAAATGTAGAAATAGCGGACCGAAGTATACCAAATTCTTTCTTCATCAAATACAGATAAAAATATCGGTATGTGCAAATTATTTCCAATTTTATGCGAAATCCTAAATTTCGATAAATTACATATTCATATCAGATTTCTGGTTAAGAGAATTATTTAGATACAGCAAGTTGTATAGAATCGCCGACTTGTTTCGCAACATGAAAGATATAAGTATTGGAAATTGTTGGCATTCGTGGGTGAGGTACCCGAAGGGGTTGGCAGATATTTTTCATCTTCACAAAAGATCTTGCGTTAGCAAAAATATTTGGATGTGTGAAATTTAAATAGAGTTGGATGCTTATTTCGATTTCTATGAGAGTTTTGTTTTTCAAAATCTTGAACCCTATGTTGGGAAGATACCAGAAGAAGTGGTCCGATCCCTCACATCTTTAAAACTGATCTTGGGTTGATAGCAATATTGAGATGCGCCAAGTCCGAATGGAATCGGATGTTAATTTCGCGTTTTATGAGCTTTATGGATATTCCAAATTTTGACCCTTTATGAGGGAGGTACTTGAAGGAGTGGACCGATATATACCATTTTCACACCCAACCTTGAGCAATTAAAAATATTGTGATATGTGTAATTTAAGAGAACCGGATGCTTATTTCGGAATTTATGATCGTTTTAATTATTCAAAATTTTGACCATTTGAAGGGGAGGTACCAAAAGGAATAGTCCGACCTCTACCATCTTTATAACAGATATTGTTTTAATAGAAATATTGAGATGTGCCAAGTCTGAATGAAATCAGATGTTAATTTCGCGTTTTATGAGCTTCATGGATACTCAAAATGTTGACCCTTTATGAGGGAGGTACTTGAAGGAGTGGACCGATATATCCCATCTTCACACCCAACCTTAGATTAGATAAAAATATTGTAATGTGAGCAATTTGAAGAGAACCGGAAGCTTATTTCAGATTTTTTGGTCGTTTAGGTTATTCAAAACTTTAACCCTTTGTGGGGGAGGTACCAGAAGGAATGGTCCGATCACTATCATCTTTATAACAGATCTTGTGTTAATAGAAATATTGAGAAGTGCCAAGTCTGAATGAAATCGGATGTTAATTTCGTGTTTTATGAGCTTCATGAATATTCAAAATTTTGACCCTCTGCGGGGTAGTGGACCGATATATTCCATCTTCACAGCAGACCTTGGGTTAATAAAAATATTGTGATGTGAGTAATTTGAAGAGAATCGAATGCCTATTTCGGATTTTATGGTCTTTTAATTATTCAAAATTTTGGTGAAATTTGAAGACAATCGGACTCTTACATCACTTTTTATGAGAGTTGTAATTATTTAAATTTTTGGCCTTTGTGGGAGAGGTACCAGAAGGAGTGGACCGATATTGTCCGTTTTCGCACCTGACATAGCACTGACGCAAATATAAGGATTTGCAAAGTTGGAGCAAGATCGGATTATCGTTTCTCTTTCTGTCCAAAAGATATAAAATTGAAAATTTTGACCATTTGTGGGGGAAGTACCAGAAGGAGTGGACCGATATTCAAACCAGACCTTGGGTTAATAAAAATATGTGATGTGTGTAATTTGAAGACAATCGGATACAAAATTTTTACCCTTTGTGCGGGAGGTACTTGAAAGAAGGGATATTGCCCATTTTCGCACCTGACCTAGCACTGATGCAAATATTAGGATTTGCAAAGTTGGAACAAAATCGAATTATCCTTTCTCATTTTGTGCAGAAAATTATTTTCTTTGAAAATTTTGGCATTTTGTTTGGGAGGTGTCAAAAGGAGTGGACCGATATTGCCTATATCCGAACTCGATCTAAGTTTGACAATAATATTACCATGTACCACGTTTGGATCAAATCGGATGCTACCTTCGAAAGTTATCGTGCGCACCAGTCAGCCAGCCGGCCAGACAGACGGATGGACACACGGACATCGCTAGATCGACTCTAAATGTCGTGAAACGGATTTGGTCCAAAGAGAACTAGGGTCTAAAACCGTTATATCGATGAGGCAGGTTTTGTCGGTGTCAAATGATATATACCCTCTCTCTAGAAAAGAAGAAAGTAGTAAAAAAAGAAAATTAACGCTTGAATCTGAAAATCTTGAAATTTTACCAATTAGATGCCCAATCATAGATGACGATTGAATCTGTGATTGACTGAACTCTGGAAGTTGAGTTAGAATGTATCAACTTATGCAGTCGGTATTATTATATCGGTGTCAAAATCAGATTTCACATTTGGGCTGATGACATAATTTTTCTGAAAAAGAAATAAATAAAGAAAAAATATCTTAATTGAGCAATTTAATTTAAAATGTAAAATTTATGAGAATGTAGAACATTTAAATAAATTTTAATGGCACAAAATAAAACGTATTTTTTTAAGAAAATGCGTTTTGGCAAATTAAAAGCAATAATAAAATAAAAAAAAATAATTAATATTTTTGGAGACTTTTTTATATTTGTTTAAAAATGTTAAAAAAAAGTTATATATATTTATTGTATATTAGTTATATTTATATAAATATATATATATATATATATATATATATATATATATATATATATATATATATATATATTTATTTTATCGGTTTCAGTTCGGAAATGAATTAAAATCATAGCTAGTGAGCAAAGTCTCCTCTTTCTTTCCCACATAATTAACCCCTTTATCGTTTATTTTCTCACATAGTATAATATTCTGTTTGAATGAACAACACAAACTAAATAGTAAATCATTTGGAGCCAAATTGATATTCAATTATGTAAATTTTAAAATCCTCGTGCTATCATATAGACATACTTGAATTTTATTCAATATTAGGTAACAAAAAATGACAAGTTTTATTTTTTGATTCTTTTTTTTTTTTTGCATTTTTTTTTTTTTTGCAACAGAAAACCAGTTGGGACTGCGAATATTATTTCAAAATTATGAACCAATTTTAAAATTTCTTCAAAATTTCTGTAAGATAGAAAAACGCTCCGAAAACGCGTCTCGTCGTCGCAAATGAAGAAGTCAAACATCTTTGAATTTTATGGCAATTGAAAAGAACTAGAATTCAACGGTGATCGGATATTTGAAACACCAATGGATGAGAACTAGTTTGGTTTTCGATTGGTTCTTGAACTTGAACTTGTCATTCTGATTAAAAAAAAAAATTTGATAAATAATATGAACGAAATGTGCATGAGCTTGCGGCACAGGTTCCCTCCTGTTAGATGCAAGGCTTTCAGTTTTGTCGTTGTGCTAATCAAAATGAAATGCATGGCAAGTTTGAACGTTTTTGAATAGCCGCCTTGCTCCCTGCGAGATATGCAATTTTTTTAATTTTTTACAATTACCAGGAGAGAAGGAGTGTATCAATAATATATGTCTTCGAAACTTATCTAAACTTGACAAAAATATTAGGATGTGTCAATTTTGGATGGAAAAAGACACTGACTTCAG